AATTCAATCTTTTCTACACAAAAAAAAAAAAAAATCATCAGATATTCCTGAAATAGTGGTTTCAAATGTACGAAGTAAGCTTTCCTTAGGTTGGCATAATTCTTAAGATGTGTTTCATGTTAAAAATGAAAATGAAGTCGTTATTCCTTCATCACTGAGTTTGTTGATGATGAGTAAATCCATGGGAGCCAGCCTTTTTGACAGGCTTGCCGCATATTAGCCCCACATCCTTCCTGAGGGCCACTCTGATCCCTATCGCTTACCCAATTTGCTGCTCAGTTTTCTGCTCCTGACCAAGCTCCTGCATTCCGCTTCCTGCCTGAGCTGATGCTTTGCTTTCTGCTCTCTGCCCTACTTGCCAGTGTTGCCTTTCCCCTCCCCAGTCTGCTTCATGCCATGCATAGTGGCTGCCTATGCCACTTGTGGTGCCGATACTCCAAGTTGGCCACTCCCAAATTAAATCATCGTGCTTTATTTCCCACACTTCCTGTCTCCACCCCCACCTTTCAGGCATATCAAATTAATGCTTGTGATGTTTCTTTCTCTCCCCTAATGTGTACGGTTTTGTTTTCTCTCTCCTATGGCATCATCAATGTCATTAGCCATCATCAGTGGCAAAAGTTATTTTTCAGTTTCAAACCAAGATGCAGAATGGAATAACCTGATTTTCTTGAACCTATCGTGTTAACTGAGCTGGTGGTGCAGATAACAGTATAGAATTCTGATAATAAACTAAGAAGTTATGAGACCGTTGCAGGGAGTTGTTATACAGTATAACATGGTAACATTTTTATTTAGATTTTTTTCCCCCACAATAATTATGGTTGGCAGTAGAATCTTACTGTACCAGTTCTAGGTTTATGCCCATTCTCCTACTTCATGTTTAAGGCATTTAATAGTTGTATAGTAGTAAAAACATCAAAATATATAGTTTGAACCATAGCAATGAAGGCACTAAGAATCAGCTTGTTTAAAATGCATTTAAAAGCCAGACGTATTTTTTGTATAAGGTTACTGATGTATAAACTGGAGTATATTTTAAGAAACAATGTGTCCTGGTAAGGATGAGTACTTTTGTCCCACATGATGATTCCAGTACATTAGACGGAAATTCTAACTTCTGGGTGTTTATCCAATCCGCTGGCTGAGGGGTGAGTAGTGGGGGGTTGTTGGAACCTGGAATTAAAGTGCTTTTGATTCCTGGCCTCTTTTGAAGGGACTCCGCTCTTTGTTAGTATGAAGAAGAGGAGATGTTTCTTCTGATATTCGTAAACTTTTCTGCTAACAATATGTTTTTTCAGGACAGAAATCTCCCTTCTTTTTTCTTTGCTCTCTGTCTTTGTTCACTGTTAGACTGCCTTTAAATTTAGAATCATGTTTACAGGAATACAGCAGAGACATGGAAACTAATCCTCAAGATTCTTTAGCGTCTGTCAGGGTGTCAGACTTGCCTGGGGCCCCAGGCTGATGCAGACCATAGGACTCCTTGTGAGCCAGATCTAGCTTGGAATGTGAAGGTTGCCACAGTGGCCACTGGTGGTGGTGGTGGCAAGGGGTCTGGCAGCAGCAAGGGATCCATTAGAGCGAGTCTATGAGCAGCAGCAGAGAGCTGTGCTTGCTGCCCATGGCTACACACCACACTTTCAGTACCCACTGGTAGCCTGTCGGCTGTTTTTTGACAGCCCTGGAGCCTATTAACCAAACCATTTCCTTAGTAAGTTTTGCTCATTTTTCTTGGTCTTTGGAAACTTACCAGATTTTGCTCCCCTTCTGGATATATATAGAAACAGTAGCATAACTATCACCGGGCAGGGGTGGGTTGGGGAGAGGTGGAAAAATAACTCCTGCTACACCAGTGGCACAAGGGCAGCTGGAAGTTGCCACTGCTTCCATGTATCTCGGCTGTCCTGGGTACCCAACTGCCTTACTCTGTTTTCTGTATAGAAGCATGAAATAGTGTTTGCTTGTAGTTTGCTTTAGGTTCACCTAGTCCTTTTGTTGATTGGATGATACTTACTGTGACTTTCCACTTTCTTAGAAGGGCCTTAGCAAGATTTCCTTAAAATACAACTAGCTTTCCTGGACTCCTTCCCTCCTCAGACTGATCCTGCCTTCAGTTCCCTGAGGGAGTCGAAGTCTGCTTTTCTGAAGTCCAAGGTCCTTACTCTGCTGCTCTCCTTCCTTGCTTTCCTCAGGATCCTGAACTCAGTCATCTTGTGGTCACTGCTGCCCAAGTTGCCATCCACTTCTACATTCCCCA